GGGCGGGGGGAGGCGATGTGTGTCTCCCTCTTGCTCCTCCTCTGTCACGATGCTTTTTTTTCCCTCCTCTTCCTTCGCCCAGCCCTGTATCCTAATGAACAACATTCAGCAGCTGAGGGTGCAGCTGGAGAAGATGTTCGAGGCCATGGGAGCCAAGGAGGTGAGCGCGCAGAGGGCCTGATGGAGGGAGGAACAGCCCGCTGGTGCCTGGGGTGCCCCTCCTCCTCCTCTGTCATGATGCTTTTTTCCCTCCTCTTCCTTCGCCCAGCCCTGTATCCTAATGAACAACATTCAGCAGCTGAGGGTGCAGCTGGAGAAGATGTTCGAGGCCATGGGAGCCAAGGAGGTGAGCGCGCAGAGGGCCTGATGGAGGGAGGAACAGCCAGCTTGTGCCTGGGGTGCTCCTCCTTCCCCATAGACGCCGGCGTGTCCTTGTCTGGAGCCGCTGGGAGAGCCAAAGAGAGCGCCCTTGCTCTCCCGTCCTGCCTCTGGGTGTCCCCTCGGGGCCTCCAGCCGGCCACGGTGGGAACAGAAGCCTGGCCTGGCTGGACCTCCGGCTCGGGGGCGCTTTTCACGTCCTTACTGCCTCCCAAAAGGGAGTTCAAGGCGCTGTGGTTGCCCTGCCAGGCAGGCCGAGAAATACGGTGTGGTTGGGCGTCGATGTTGGGAGAGCGTGGAGGCGCAGGCTGTATCACCGAATTCCTTGGGATCAAGCCATAAACGTTTCTTGCCCTCACGCGAGGCAGGTTTTTGCCCCTAAGGGGATTCGGGCTGAAAGTTACCCCAAGCGCGGTGGGAATGTTTGGTCTAACTGATGTCTGTCTGTCTGTCTGTCTCTGTTTCTGTCTCTTTCTCTCTCTCTCTCTCTCATTCTGGCCCTTGCATTTCAAGATTGTGGATGGTGAAGCAGAGGAGAAGGATCCGGAAAGGAAGGGTCCTGAATGTGTTAGGCCCAATCCTCTTTCTTTTTTTAGTCCCTCTCTCCTTAACTGTGACCTCTTAGATATCCTGAACACGTAGTCTTTGCACCGGGAGGGGGGGAACTCCACAGTGGCACAGCGCCAGGCAGACTCCACCACCCTCTCCCAGGGGCCACCGGCCGTTCCGGGAAGCAGTCCGACCTCTACAGGCATCCCTAGGAGAAAGCAAGAAGCGGAGAGGAATGGTGGGAGCCCTTGCTCCGCGGGCTGAGGGCTCCCCAGAGCAGGCCTGGGACTTCTCAGCCCTCTCTGGGGCTCGACGGCTTCCTGGCATGGTCGGCCCAAGAGTGGAGCACCTCCTGCTCGTTCTGGCCACCGGTGAAAGCTGGGGTTTCCTGGGAGTGGCAGAAGAGGCGCCCCTGGTTCCCCTCCCGGTGCATTTGTTTAGGCTTCTGCTCAGCGCGGAGGCTCGTCCTGCTACCTAGATGATTCCTGTCTGTGCTGAGTAGCTCTTGTCTAGAGTGCAGTTCCTCGCCCTCTTAGGCACTGAGATGATAGAGAGCGCTTTGCTTCTGGATTTAGTCAGCCGAGCAAACGGCTCAAAGTGTTTCCCGCTTTGCTAGCACAACCGCCTTCCTCTGAGGTTTTAAAACAGGCACCGCGCCGGATCTGTGCCAGGCGGAGTCGTCTGCAATGTGTTCTCTGGGTTTTCAGCCGGAAGGATGGCCGAAGGAAAGCCCTTAACTGCTCTTAAGAGGAACCAGAGGCTTTCCTTCCAGGAATCGGTGCAGCAACTGCCAGGGGTCAGAGGGGGCGGCAGCGGCTGCGGCGGCAGCTGTGGGATCCAGGAGCTTTCTGAGGTTCCCAAAGGGACTCTTGCATGTCGGGGAGGGGGTGGGAGCGCTTCTTTTTTCATGGAAGCTGAAATGGTAGCTGAGCCCCAGAAATGATGCCCCTGAGGAGGCTGTAATGTTGCCTCCACCCCTCCACCCCACCCCGCGAAGCCCTGAAATAGAACAGAAGGGCCATATGAGAACACCTAGCATTTTAAAAGACTCAGGAACCATCTCCAAGGGAAAAGTTGGCAACCTGTATTTGAGAAGCAGAGTCTAGCCTTTATAGGGCAGCCGCCGGCCATTCTCAGGTGCTAGGGATGACCCGGGCGTGGCTCAGCAAACTCTCTTCCGGGGGGGGGGGTCCAGGCAAGGTGGCCAAGAGGCTTGGGAGCTTTTGCCCCCCTCCTGCCTGGGGGAGGAGCAGGGGCCAGTGGCAGCCCAGAGACTCTGGAGAGCCGTTTTCAACCTCGGCCCTATGTAGTGCCCGGGTGTGATGCCCTCCCCTGGTCAGAGAGGTGGGAGTCCAGAGAGGTGGGGGGACTGTCCATGTAGCCCAGTTAGAAGGACTCTGGAGTCCCCTCGTCCGACCCTCTCCAGCCTCCTGACAACAACGCAGCAGCAGGCGCCAACAGCCGCTCGCCGCTCCACTTAGCTGGCATAAGCAGACCTCAGCTGCCCAGGGACCGAGAGAGGGGCAGGGCCCGTGGCACTTGGGCTCTCTCTGGGTGTGTGGCTTCTGAAATCAGACCGACGGGTGCCCACGCCTTTGCCCCTTTGGCTCCCGGCAAGGGCAGGCGGTGGCGACGCACGGAGTAATTCTGTTCCTAGTTAGGTGTAAGAGGGGAGCAACTTCTGGGCTTACCTGGCGATCCCGCTGCGCTGTGTCCCCTCCCGCTCACGGCCGGCGCGCCGACGGCCTGGATGCCCTTTGGGCAGAACCATAGTGCTTTGGTCTCCCCCTGAGTCTGCCCGTCTCTCTCTCTCTCTCTCTCTTGACAGCTGGATCCCGAGGCCAGCGACGCCCTCAAGGAGCTGCAGGTACAGCTCAACAACGTGCTGGATGAGCTGAGCACCGTCTTTGGGAACAGGTGGGTGCAGGTGACATCTCGGGGCGCCCTTGGGTTTCTTTCTGATTCTGCCTTGTGATTAGAATAAGGATTAGAATTAGAATAACGCTTTATTGCCATTGCATGTGCAACGAAATCACCAGAGTGCTACCCAGACAGGGCATCACTCGCTCGGCTAAAACTCCATGTAAACGCATTACAAAATTCCAACGTAAGACAACAGCCACAAAACACATTCACAGGCGACCCTACAATAAAGTCCAATTAAATCTTAACTGAAGAGTTAGAGAGAGTGAGAGAGTGGATTTTGCTTTTGAAAATTCGCCCCCCACAGCCCGCTCCTCATGAACACAGAAGCCACTGAGAAATTGAAAAATGTTTTCCTCTTGCTCTCCCAGCACAAAGTTAAATATTCTCTGAAGTGTGAAATCGGGATCCTGTCTCGGCAGGATAGAGCTCTCCCCACGAGCTGATCAGGCGTCGTTTCCCTTTTCGCATTCAGAGGGCCACGGGGCGGGCGGTTTGGGGAGGCCCTCGCTCTGGTTGCGGGAAGTGCCTGTGTTCCCCTCGGTGTCGTAGCTCGGGGAGAGCTGAGGAGTGGATCTAGTCCTCCGGGGGGGCCCTCCCCACGCCCCCCCCTCAGCTCTCCCTGGGGATATTCAGAGAGCAGGGAGATGCCCCTCAGGGTTTTCAAGATCGAGTTGGTCACAGGTTCCTAGGACCCGTCACCCGCCCCCCAACCAACCCTCTTTGGACTTAAAAAGGAATAGATTTCAAATCATCCGGCCTTCAGGTTCTGAAATCACGCTAGGTTCCAGCAGAGATTGCAGGTTTCCTTGGGAATCTACTCTGGCTTGGAATGCCTCCGGTTTTTAAAAAACCCCAGTGACTCATCCTGGGCACCGAGAGCTCCCTTCGTTTGAAAGAAAGAAAGAAAGAAAGAAA